GCACTGGCAGTTGTCACTTCGGCCAAGAAGTTGAGGCCATATTTCCAGTCACACCCAATCATCGTCCTCACAGATCAACCCCTCCGGCAGATTCTGCAGAAACCAGAGTGCTCTGGAAGATTAATTAAGTGGGCAGTAGAACTGGGGGAGTTTGAGATCACGTTTCAGTAGAGGTCGGCCATCCGAGCCCAAGCATTAGCAGATTTTATTGTTGAATGCACCCCATGTCCCTCAACCTCTACTCCAGAACCCAACGAATGGACCTTATATGTTGACGGAGCATCTAGTAGCAAAGGTTCAGGGGCTGGAGCTCTCTTGATTGGGCCAGATGGTTATCGAAGCGAACATGCTTTGAAGTTCAACTTTGATGCGACAAATAATATGGCTGAGTATGAAGCTCTGCTACTCGGCCTACAACTAGCATTAGAGTTGAAAATCAGCGCAATTCAAGTGTACAGTGACTCATAGCTGGTGGTAAACCAAATCAACTCTATTTGCGAAGTCGTTGATCCTGTGATGGTAAAGTATGTAGCCTTGGTGGCCGAGCTGAAGTGCAAATTCCAGAAATTCTGTCTGAGTAAAATCCCCCGAGCTGAGAACGAACAGGCAGATTCACTCTCTAAGTTTGCCTCTGATAGCTCTTTAAGCTCCAGATCCGTTTTTGTAGAGGTCTTAGATGAACCAAGCTTCACGAAGCCTCGGGTGATGGAAATTAGCACAAACCCTGACACGCCAAGCTGGACTGATTTAATTGTCTCCTTCTTACGAGATGGGATAGTGCCTGAGGACAGGCAGGAGGCAATGAAATTGAGGAAGAAAACATCTCGGTATACACTTGTTGATGGAGTCCTGTATAAGAGATCTTTCTCACTTCCTCTTCTACGGTGTTTAAATCCCTATGAAGCTGAATACGCACTTCGAGAGGTGCATGAGGGTGTCTGTGGGAGCCATGTTGGTGCTAGGACTCTCGCTCACAAAGTCTTAAGGAAAGGATACTACTGGCCAAACATGTACAGAGATGCCACCTATTTCGTCCAGAAATGCCCGAAATGTCAATTCTTCGCACACCTGACTCACCAACCAGCAGAAGAGCTCACGAACTTGGTAGCACCGTGGCCATTTGCTCAGTGGGGACTGGATCTTTTAGGCCCATTTGTGAAAGGGGTTGGTGGTGTAACTCATCTGATTGTTGGTGTGGATTATTTCACGAAGTGGGTTGAAGCTCGGCCTTTATCTAGTCTTACCTCTAAGAAGGTCGAAGATTTTGTTTTCGATTCGATCATCTGCAGATATGGGATCCCAAATCAGATCGTGGCTGATAATGGAACTCAATTCAATTGTTTCTCATTTCAAGATTTCTGCTCCAGTTATGGGATCAAGTTACAGTTCACCTCCGTTTACCATCTGGAGTCCAATGGCATGGTGGAATCTGTTAACAAATGCATTTTGGAAGGTATAAGGCCGAGATTGGAGCAGCATAAGGCCAAGTGGGCAGACGAGCTCAACAACGTCCTCTAGGCATACAGAACCACGAGCCAGACTGCCACAGGTACTACTTTAAATCGAGTTTATTTGATTAATTTCTGTAGTATTTAACCTCTTCTGTTACGCCTTCCCTTAGAACAAATATGCATAACGCATAAAGCGCATTCTAAAATTCTAATCAATTGAAATAGGTGAAACACCCTACCACCTGGCCTTTGGTACCGAAGCAGTCATTCCTGTTGAGATAAGAGTCCCAAGCTTCCGAATCACCCATTTCGATGAAGGACGAAATGGACAACTGCTTCGGGAAAAAACCTTGATCCGCTTGCTGAAGTCAGAGAAGAAGCTCGGCTTCGAACTCTTGTATACAAGCAGAAACTAGCCAACTTCTACAATAAACGGGTCCGCCCTCGAACATTCAAAGTAGGAGACCTTGTTCTCAGAAAAGCTGGCCTAACGGGGTTTGAAACTCGTTTTGGCAAACTTGCCCCAAATTGGGAAGGCCCTTACACCGTGGCCGAGGTACCACATCTTGGTGCCTATATCCTCCAAGACGCCGAAGGAAAGAGAGTTCCTAGAGTCTGGAATGTCAATAACTTGAAGAAATTTTACCCCTAATAAAATTCTTTCAAGTGATCTATGTCTTACTGTTCTTTACGTTTCTCACTTCATGTTTCTAGAAATTCATTTTACCTCTTATTCTATGTATCCGAGGTCAATTAATCCATTCGTTTCTTGAACCTCACTTCTGTTAATAAATGTCACTTCACATTTGAAGTGTTTTATCTCCCCTCAATTCATTTACAGTGATATACTTGTTATTAATTCACTTGAAGTGGTTTACTTCCCTGGAGTTTGTTTCCGAAGTGGTTAACTTCTTTTTATAAACTTTCCTTTTTAAAGGTAGTCTCAGTTCTCATACCAATTTATAAATGAACAAAAAGGTGAATGCAAGTAAACACATTATTTCAAAAATAAACTTTCATTAAGAAAATATAGGTACTACAAACTGATCACATGTCTTTACAAAAAATCAAAAAACAAACAAAATTAATTCTCTGCTGGAGGAGGTGGCTCCACTGGCTCCTCTTCAGTTGGAAGAGGTGGCTGTCTTGGCTGCTGCTCGTCTGGCAGAGGAGGCTGCTCATCGTCAGAAGGAACTGGATGAATCTCCACTTCTGGAATTGGTTGTCCATCATCAACTCCAGCTCCTTCTACTCCTGCCTCCACTTCGTCTCCCTCTACCTCTGCTCCTTCTTCCTCCACTGCAACGAACTCGAAGTCGAATTGTGGAGGAAAAACAGCGAGACCGTCTGCATCATCCTCCCACCTCAGTTTGATCTGAGGACGGAAGTCTGCTGACATGCTCTCACCATCTTCCTCCACTCTTTCTTCTTGCTCGCCGAAGGTGACCTTTGTCACATCCACTTCGGGATATGCAGCCTTCATCTTCTTTCTGCAGTCTGTGAAAGCGATAATGGCAATGGGCAGCCGGTACAGGTTGACGATGCTGTCAAACGAGCTGGAACTGATGAAGTTGCTGATGTGTTCCTTCATTCCATTATGCACCAACTTCTGCGTGTTCCCTTTCAGCTCCTTGAATGCCTCCGTCATCAGCTTTATTTCTTGCGCCTGAGCCTCACGCTCGCTTTCGGAGATCCTTCGTTTGCTCTCCTCAAAGACGAGCTTGGTGCTTAGGGACGACCTCTCCTGCTCCAACTGCTTCATAGCTGGAACCACCTCATTCAGAGACTCTTGCAGCTCCTTATTCTTTTTCTCCAACTCTTCCTTCTCCTTCTGCAGTTGGTCACACTGCCTTTGCAAGAGTGCGCGATCCTTTATACTCTCCCTGAACTCCTGGGCTAGACCATTCACCCAGCTCGCGCTCTGCAAATCAAAGCAGAAGTTCAAAAAGAAAGAAGAGAAGAAGAAACATAATAAATATATAGCAACACTAATTTAACGTACCTCAAGAGCATGCTTCACCACAGATGCTCCCCCGTACCTCAGAGCCTCCTCCCGTGCACTGCACTTGTCCACTTCGGGGAAGGTGCTGTTGATGAACCACCTAGCCCCCATTATGTTCTTTGCCTCGAACAGGTTGCTCTGAGGCACTACTGGGGTAACAGGGCCCTTCCCCTTACCAGGAGCCCGTACCTCAGCCCCCCCCTCCAACTGTCTGAGCTCGGGGTCCAGCTCAACAGGAGGAGGCTGAGGTACGAACTCAGGCACCCCATTCCCCTCTTCTTCCACCACCTTCTGCTTCTTCTGCAGCGCCCTCCTCTCCTCCCAACCCTTCCTCTTCAGTGCTGGTACCTCTTCCTCCGTCTCAGCTGACGCCAAGGGTACCACCTCCTTCCCAACCCTCCCCTCATCCACTTGCTTAGTTGAAGTCCTTGACTTCATCCTTGGCTTCTTGGGGATAGCCTTTCCTCCAGCAGTATTCAAAAATTGATCCATTTGAGCTGCAAAGCAAGAAACACAACATTAGTCACAGTTTTATAATCTACACTTAACGCTACAGTATATGTCAAACAAACCTTCACTCAGAGCGCTTGGCCCATAGAGCTCAGCAGCCTCTATACATGCTGCGCTGGTGAGGTCCATAATATTCAATACATACCCCCTCTTCCTCACCAACCTCCCCACTTCTTCCTCCTCGTCCTCATTTAAGCTAAACTTATTCTGGTTGGCCCTTTTGGCCTTCCAGGAGGCTAACGCCCTCACCTCGGCATCCCCTTTCCCCCATTCCGTGTCATCCACAAAAAAGAATTTTTCCTTCCATCCCTTAATGGATGAAGG